CGAGAAGGTCATCCACATCCTCATGGGCGTCGAGGAGAAGGACGACTTCCAGCTCTATTAGTCGAGGACGAAGGGGAAAAGTTCAGGATGCGCTGTCGCTTTTTCCGTGATCGCTGACTTTTTTTTCTGCGTCAGCAGAGAATTTGTAAGCGTTAAAGGAGTCAGAAATGAACTGTCTGATCTAGAGTATGAGGTGTGGTTATTCGTCACCACTTTCATTATGTGTTAGTGTACATTGGAACTAAAACAAATGCACAAACGCATTTAAATACACACACGCACACACACACATGAAAATGTTCACTTGTAAATGGAACAGTTTTGGGGAAGGGATGATAGTAAGCCGTTGGAATCTATAGACAAACTAAATCAATAAATTACAGATAAAAGTCTACAAAATTTTGTTTCTTCCCAAAAATGCCTCTAAATGTACGGATAAGATTAAAACATACATTACTAATGGAGAGAATCCATCTCATTATAGAATTTGCATACCAATTAACTTGTAAACCGTAACAGTATTTTTCTATGACTGAGCCCCTCCGACAAAGACACACAAAGAAAAGCAAGTAAATATAGAAAAGCACTGCGGTAATGGGTGTGGCAGCTCACAGCAAAGAAAATCCTATTTTGAACATCTTAGACAATCTTTAAAGTTCAAATATCTCATACATAAAATCTGATCAGTATGTATATGGAGTTAATAGTAAGGCTAGCTAATACAGAAGAAATGTAGAACGAATGATTTCAATGGAAAGAAAAGAATTCTCTCATTCCCCATTCAGTTGCTAAAGGTCCAATATATCTCGGTGTGATTCCTTTGAATGTATCTGGTCCTCTCTCTGTGTCTTTGATGCGAGAGTATGGAGTTGTAATATGCAGCTGTGACGACGGCGTGAAGGCGGGTCTCATGGCGGCGCTCGACTACTGCGAGGAATTTACGGGTAAGTGGAACAGAGAAAGAAAGAGGAATGGAGGACCGACAGAGGAAGAAAATATAACCACACCGTCAGACTAAAACGCTATACAGGGGTTCCTCGACTTACGACGGAGAACCGTTCCTACGATGGCGTCGTAACCCATATTTTGACCCTAAATGCAGTACGTGTACGTACGTACATAAGCACCAAAGTCACCCATATATGCTAATGCAATATGTATACATGTATTAGTCATGATATAAAATATAACAAGACACTTTTATGACGTACATGAAACATAACTAGGGCCAAAGGAACCCATAGAAGAGAAACTAAATACTGTACATGATCTCTAGCGTCGTAGCCACGAAACGTCGTAAGTCGAGCCCGTCGTAAACCGAGGACCCACTGTACTCTTTTACCCCGCAGCAGTACCTCTCCCTCGACAAGGCCCGTTCCCCGATGCCCAAGAAGCTGCGGAAGCTGCTTGCCCTCCTGAAGTGCGAGAGGAAAACCTGACTGGCCGTCTGCATGGAGCACGACTTCCTGAGGCACCTGGACAAGTCCGACGTGTCTGCCATCCAGAAGGAGGGCGAGGGCGAGGTGGCAGAGAGGCTCGTCCACCTCATGTAGGGGCCTCGAGGCTGACGACGAACCCCGGCTCTCCTGAAGGGTCGCTTGAGTCGAGGAGGACTTGCGACAATGCTCTCCGTTTCATAGTGACGCTTTCATGCAAAGACACAAAGGTTATACGTACGGTCTACTGCAAGGACCCTGTTAGCCATATGCTTTGTGAGATCCACTTGAACGAATGGCTATGAATTATACATGTGACATTAAATATGAAACTACATCATGCAATTTATTGAAAAGAATTTCCTCTAATATCTGCATCGTTTGGTGAGCTTTGGTAGATTTTTAACTTTTAACGTTTTAATTGAATGTTCAGAATAATTGCTTCCCATTGTTTCATTGAACGCTAAAATAAACACTTGTCAACACTATGTTCAGTGATGACTGCTTCGAATATTTAAAAATCACGTGAAAATGCGAATGCAGGAATAGAAACGAGAAAAAGCATACTGTTCATGAGCGAATAAGCATTGCACTTTTTAGCCGATTAAAAATCATAATCTAGATGCACAAATGAACATTGCAACAGAGACACAACCAGATACATAGTCATTTTACAAACTCTTTGTCTTCATATATTGAGAAGCAAACGAAAGGGGGAATGGATATAAAGAATTCTTTCCAGTGCATTCATTCGTTCTACATTTCCTTTCTATACGCTAAACTTACTACTAACGCAATATACACACTGATCAGATTTCCATGTATAGGAATATTTGAACTTTAAAGATAGTCTAAAATCTTTAAAATATGATTCTCCTTTCTATGCAGCTATCACACCCATGACTACAATGTTCCTGTGTATTTGTTTTTCTTTCTGTGTCTGTGTCGGAGGGGATCAGGTATATAAGAGTATCAATAAGGAATACCAAGTCACGGTTTATTAGTCTATTTATATCCAGACTATATAGTGAGATAGATATTGTTTATTAATGTATATATCTTAATCATATCCATGTATATAGAAACATTTTGGGGGAAAATCATAATTTTGTTTTCTTTTATTTATAATTCATTCATCAAGCTTGACAAAATATTCCATTGGCTTACTATTATCCCATCCCCAAGACTGTTCCATTTACGAGTAAACATTTTCATGTATGTGTGTATTTAAATGCGTTTGGGCATTTGTTTTAAGTACTATGTTCCCAATGTGCACTAATAATGAAAGTGGTGACGAATATACCTAGATCAGACAGGTTATTTCTGACTTGTTTAATGCTTACAAATTCTTTGCTGACGCAGAAAAAAATGAATCAGCGATCACGGAAAAAGCGACAGCGCATCCTGAACTTTTCCCCTTCGTCCTCGACTAATAGAGCTGGAAGTCGTCCTTCTCCTCGACGCCCATGAGGATGTGGATGACCTTCTCGGCCTTCGAGCCTTCGTCGCTGTCTTCGTCAGCGGGAAGCCCGGAGAGGTCGAACTCACTGAGGTGCTTCATGAAGTCGTGCTTCATGCAGACGGCGAAGCGGGCCTTCTTCCAGCACTTGTTGAGGGCGACGATGCGCTGCAGCTTCAGGGGCATCGGGGAGCCGGACTTCTCGAGGGGGAGGCACGTCTGCGGGGGGAGGCTGGGTCAAGGGAGGTCTCTCTCTCTCTCTCTCTCTCTCTCTCTCTCTCTCTCTCTCTCTCTCTCTCTCTCTCTCTCTCTCTCTCTCTCTCTCTCTCTCTCTCTCTCTCTCTCTCCTCTCTCTCTCTCTCTTAACCTATCTGTCTATTTCCACAACGCATCTGTGTGCTTGTACGTCTATGACTGAACGAAGTTTGCAAATGGAAGCCTGGACCCTCGTGTGCTCACTGCGAGTCCAGCCGCACTTGGCACTTACCGTGAGTTCCTTGCACTTCTCCATTTCACGAGGTCCTCCTTCAGGTCCTCACTGAGGTCAAGCTCTCTCAGGGTGTTGACGGCGTCGTAATTGAGGTTGAAGTCGTCATCAATCTGCAAATCAATTATTGATTTTGATCCATACGAGAAATATGGTTATGGCGAGAATTTAATCCATTACTACTACTACGATTGTTCCTGCTATCATTGCTAAATGATAATGATGATGGTAATTATAGATATTAATGATGATAATAGGGATAATAATAACAATGAAAATAGCAATAACAACGATATTAGTAATAAGGATAATGCTACTAATACTAGTACTAACATGAACGCTGTTTCTAATACCATCACTAATATTGATACTTATACAGATACCAATACAAATCCTGATACTGACACTAAACTGCTAATCACAATCACAACAACAGCAAGCACAAGCAACAAAGACGAAATGTTCATACTCACGTAGTTCATCTTCCTCATGACGCAGGTGAAGTTGCTGACCTTCGCCTTGACCTTTTGGACCATTTTCTTGAGGATGGGAGCGCTGTACAGGGGGTCGCGCTTCTGCACAGGGGGGGGGGGGAGAAGGTCAGTTAACGACGGGTCATAACGAGGTGTAGCGCAATCGGGGCTTAAAGTGATATACATTTTGCGAATGTAGGTCAGGTTTGCATCCAAAGTTTGATGGCTTTAGTGGTGGTGATAATGATGATGGTGTAATAATACTGATTACAATAGTTATGATAATAATAATGACAATGGTGATATTGATGATAATGATAATGATGATAAAGATGAATATTTAAACACACACACAACACAAACACACACACACACACCACACACACACACACACACACACACACACACACACACACACACACATATATATATAATATGTGTGTGTGTGTTGTGTGTGTGTGTGTGTGTGTGTGTGTGACAGCAGGGAACTCACCTGGCGTTGAGAGATGATTGATAGGGGAAGTTGAAGGGGAATCTCTGAGCCTGAGCTGAGGGGGTAGTACACGTACAGAGGCTGCCCTGCAAGCTTGCTCAAGCTGGTCTGGAAGACAAAAAAGGAAACCTAATATAGAACTCTAATATATATATATATATATATATATATATATATATATATATATATATATATATATATATATATATATATATATATATATAAATCCACAGATGGATAATTGAACATAAAGAAATATGGACACGATGGAACATTAACAATCTTAAAAAGACAAAAAGTCACATCTCTTCAAGAAGAAGCTCCTCACCAAAGGATCCATGTCCTCCTCCTCCTCCTCCTCCTCGAGCGAGGACCCCTTCCCGTGGCCCTCGGGAGCTGCACCCCCTCCCCGTAGCATCCTTGACGGCCCTGAACACCTCCTTCGACCAGCTGTAGTACTGGTCTTCGCCGAAGCAGTTGGCCATCACCTGAAGGGAAAAAATCCTTCATTTATTTATTCCTTTGTTTATTTTTAGTGTGCCATTTTATTCAGTGTTCTCATTGTCATCCCATTTTTTATATAGGAAGCCAGATCCTCCAGTTATATTTTCGTCTCAAGCATTTCCTTCTTGCTTTTGTTCGTTTCATAAAA